CTTAGCATGCCTTTGTGGTGTAATGGTTAGCACGATCGGCGCGTATTCGAGAGGTCTGAGGTTCGAGTCCAGGCATTGCTCATTTTTCTCATCTCCTGCTTCCAAAAAATCCTAATGAAGTCCTCTAGTAACTTCTCCATGTCTTCATTGCTACCTTCCGAACCATAGTTTTACCTAGAGATGCATCATAGATAACTGTCAGAGCAGTCAAAAGTCTGTACTGCTACACAGTCTGGACATAAATTCCCTCAACGCCGAATTCTTGCTTCTGTAAGTCACTTGCTGTAAGTTACTTGCTTGTAAGGATTTGATAACGAGAGTTAAACAACGGAAAATATTAAAGTGATGTTTCTAAACTTCCCCGAGTGTTAATTACGGGACATAGGTTACGTCAGACACCTTTGAAAGCTATAAGTTACCGACTTGAGTTTTTGTAACCCAAGATGCTGCTATTGGAGGTATTTGTTTCTTCAGATAATTTGTTTTTAAATCCAGTTATTCTTGAACTGAGACACCCATGAATTATTTATATGGCGCTCTCAATATTGCTGACAGCTTCGAGCCCCCCCTTCCCCTTTAGATCTGTTTCGCGTCCGCAAGCGGTTCGTACTGCCGACTTTAAGAATCACTGGATTAGAATTAGAATGCTTAATTGAAATTCACATACATTTATAAATGATGAAAGCTCCAATGAAATCTTTAGTTATTAAGTTAAAAATATGTTAAAAATCATAGTCTCTTAGTCTCTTAGTCACTAAATAAGAATGAGAACATAAATTTTAAAATATTAGGGTATGCATTTAGTTTTTTTTTAATATAACATTCATTCCCCTCTTATGTTTTTGGTCTGTCTTTACTCCCCAGCTGTGATACACAGTTCCTGCGCAATGTAAATTTATAGTACTATATAACATTTACGCTGGAAACAGTCTTGAAATTTATATCATTGTCATGAACTGTTTTATCAGTTTTCTAGAATCACATGTGAAACAGTAGCTGCACGTTGAAACTTTTAATATCTTAGCTAAACTGAAGAACTATGTAGCGACTATTCGTTGAGTTCTTGTAAATAACAAGTCAAAGAAGGGTTGAATTATCCTTTATTCCAACTCAACGTAGATGAACAGATGGCCCTTTTTCAAATTTACAGTAAGCCTCTACTTCGGCTTTAACCCAATATAAAAAATATAATGCAAATCTAATACTAACTAAAATAAGTCAGCCGAAGCTGCACAGAATTAACTAACAGAATTGGCACTTATTTAAGATCAATCGGCGAATACTAACAGGCACGTAACAATACGGCTGTGAAATAGATAGCTTAGACTCGAAGCGACAACGTAGTTGAAAGGCAGAACACGCTCTCCTACGCTTTTTCTTGAAGTTCCAGCCCCAGTCGCCTCTGTCACCGCGTCTAGTTTGCTAAGTACTGCAAGCTATATGCCAGCTATAATAACATAGGTGCTTCAAGGAGCTATGCAAGTACAAAAATGCTTGAGTGGGTTCAGAGAACAGGATGAAAGTTGGTGACTCCTTTGTCACGTGAGGAATGTGAAAAACACATTTTACAGAATTACACATTACATAAAACATAAAATGTATATTTTCCCCAGAAAATATATCACTATTTACATAATGTTTACAAGTATACGCCATGCTAAAATAGCAGAAATTTCTACAAAAATTAAGAAAAAGATTTGGAATGCTTACACAATAGGGAGCTGTAATAACAATTTTAAATCCTATGTAGGGAAATTTTGGTTTTCGTTTACTATAAAAGCTGAGTAAGAGTGCAAGAGACGATCTTCTTGCAGAATTTCATAGCTGAAGAGATTGTAATTTCTTAAGTTCCTGATCAGTAACTGTTGTCTAGACTGGTGAAGCATAGGTCATTATTGGCTCAATAACAGAAAGATAAATGAGTCTCCTCATACCCAAACCTAGTGAAGAGTATTTTGCAATGATGGGATAAAGACATTTAATGATTTTTAGAGCCCTGTCTCGTATGCTATTGACGTCTTTCCTGAAGTGACTCAGACTTCCGCTTAAATACTCGTTTCTACATCATTTACATAAATCGAAATCCGGAAAACTCATTCTAGTAGGAGAACGTAGGTGGGAAACGAAAAGGTAAAAAAAAGGCTTGTTTCAAAACAAAAATAACTATTATAAAGATAAACTCTACAAACTCAAAACACAAATTTATTTCGATAACAACACATATTTTAAGATGACTCAAATAACCACAGGTTATTTGAGTTACCCATGCAACCAGCTCATTCTCTGCTATTCGAACCCTGGTTGAACTACCAGTATTCAGGGATAGCAGATGGCTCACCGGCGACGCTTGGTCGTTGGTTAGCTAATCTGCTGTCATGTAACCTGGTGCTGAGGAATTTTTTCACAATTGCTGTAAGTGTTTCTAGTTCTGATAAGTTTTTTTAATAAAAATCATTTTAGAATTACAAATGTTTAATTTTGCATTTAAGAAATAGTTCTGTATTATCAGCACAGTGCTCTGTAAAAGGTGGTTTTGCAAACAAATATGATAATAATAATAATAATAATACAATTTTAAAATGATGGAATTAAATTTTTCTTCAGAAGTAAAAGTAGATTTTTAATTTATTTTCATCTATGTTATTTTTCATTCAGTCATTTGCTTATAACAAGAGGAGAGACAAATTCAAGGACTTCTCATGCAGACCCACTCAGGGTTCTAGCTATGCCCCTGGTGTTCTAGCTATGCCCCTGGTGAAATATGACATATATATATATATATATGTATCACCTTCAATCTATGATTTATCATTTACATTGAAGAAAGTTACAGAATAAAATATACCCTTTCAAAAACAATCTTCAACATTTCCAAAGGATTTGGTTTTCTGTGATGACGCTTGTTTAAAAGAAATGATATTCAAAACAATGTTTTATGTATATTTTCAGAAAGACTGATCATTTTGAGAGGTGGTTGTCTTAAGTTATCACACAAAAAGTTTGACTATAATACGATTGAGCTATATATTTACTTTACCGATCCTGCTACTTTTAATACGGTAAAAATTTAATAATATCCGATGCTGACTAGGCAAATCAAAATTCCTAAATAAGACAAGAATAAAAATATTATCAATGGAATAAGGGGCCAAAAAAATCTGAATGCTTTCAGATTTTACATTACGCCCAAAGGGGCGTTTTTTTTTTAAAATGTTTTGTGGATTACCTGTATTTATTAAGTATCATGTTCTTCGCACTGAAACCATAAAATTCAGCTCAACAGCAATTTCGCAAAATAATTTTAAAATAAGCATATCTTTAGAATTTCAGATACACAGTCTCACGCGCTGGAGATAAAAAATTTGTTTTTCGTTCAGTGTTGCGATTGCTCGCTTTGAAGTTGTTGAGTTTGTTAGTCAAAAGTTTGTTATCTTTTTACAGAATAGGAAATAAATAATAAAACAAAGTCTATATTCCACATTTGGGCTTCCAGATGCTCATATTCGGGTAGGAAAAAAAGATGGCTTTTATTATTAATAATTGCTATCCTAGAACCTAGAGTTTATAATCCTGTCGAAAACCGAATCAGTGTTTTAAAATATTGCAAATGAAATTTACTAAATCCCCAGAAGGCAATGAACGAACAGAAAGTATTAATTCATTACAGTGCTTAACATTGCACAAGTGAATGGTATTATTTTCTAAGACGGTCATTTAATGTATTTCCTTTCTTTTTTGAAAAAAACCTATAGACACCGTAGAGTGCTTTCATTCTCCAATATTCTAGCTGTTGTTGATAGCTTAAGGCATCGCGTTATTTAAATCCTAATGTGATGCTTCTATGGTTACTCGGGTCAATTCTGACGTCAGAAATCCAGTGCAACAGTCAGCCCCATCTATTGACAAAAGGCTGCATTCACGTTTCTCAAAACTTACTCTTAACTGCAGTATTAACATTTAGAAGATTATGAGTAAGGTGGAACTAGATGTGAGCTTCTGGAATTTAGAAAAAGCAAGTGCTTTTTTGTAAAAGACAAGCACTTTGGATTCTGATAAAAAAATGAAAAATAAGAAATCTTTCATATGAAGGCTGTAAAATTCATGACTAATTTTAGATAGACATTCACGAGTTTTCTTATATTCTGTCAACTTGAATTTATGCATAATTTTTTAAACATGAAAGATTTAAAGTTACATTTGGCCTGTAAAAATTTAGAATGGTATCCTGATGAAACAAAACTGGGGGGGGGAGGACAAAGTAATGTGCTAAATACTAAAAGCATGAAATAATAGGTATATACTTAACATGTACTTATCTTTTTTGTTGCACAAAAATGGCACTTTCTGACCTGATGTTGCATCTCATAAAATAACGTTTAGAGTCCTTTTTAAGCTACTGTTTTATATTTTTAAGTAGGAAGTGTTTTTGTTTTGAGTTTGCCTAAAGTAATAGTTTGTGTACTTAATACATATTCTGTTTCATAAGTTTTATAGAAAAGTCTCTCAAGTGCGGTCAGTTTTATAGTTTTTTAAGAAAATATTTTCCTTAAAGGAATGAGTAAACTACAACAGTTTGATGAGTTAGAGAACTAGACAATCTTTAAATCGTAAAAAATGCTTATATATATATACATATATATATATATCATTTTATGTATTGAATCCAAGGATAGAAAAGTAAAGCGTGCCTTAGATGTGTAAGTAGTAGAAAAGTAAAACTCTTTTATCGTTAAAAACGAAATTCAACTGCATTACTTGAATACAAAATTTTTTGGTACTGCAGCTAAGTGACTGTGTCTGGATACTTGTTTTCAGAAAATGCTGTATTAAAATCGTGAATAAGGTTAAAAAAAAAAAAAAAAAAAAAAAAAATTCATTTTAAGCCAATTAATTAATTATTTTTATAATCATATTACAAAGAAATGTTTGGCAACTTTAGAAATAATAAGTAACTTCGTTTATTGCTATTTGGCATCATTGTCAGTAGAGTAAATTTTCTCTGTTGATGCGGTGTTTTGCTGTGATTGCGAGTTAAGAGGAGTAATAACAGCTGAGTATTTCCGTATGGCTGACAAGGATAATCGTCAGGGTCCGTTCTCTAAAGTACTGCAGAAACATGCAGGAAGAGCCAAAGAACGGGTAATTTCTGTAGAAAATTATCAAGTTTTAAATATATTTATATTCGTTAGACGGTTATGAAAGGATTAAACTTTCGTAACAGATCGTCTAATGAAATCATATTTATTACAGAATTATAGATCCATGATATTGAAAAATTATTTAAATATAAATGAGTCTATGCCATTCCATCCGAATTGAATGAGATAAGAGCGTGTTCTCAGTACCTTCAAAAAAGAAACACGTTCTCGCAGTTCATTAATAGGTTACCTGTTATATAAATAGAATTTGCAATTTGTTTTGTAAATGTTCTTGTTAATTAATAATGTGAAAAAGCAAAGTTTTCGTAATATAGTTTTAATGAAATATTTGTTTTTGTTTGATACTTTTTGGAAGCAGTTGAAATATTAGTGAATATATGTTTGTTACTGATCAAGGAACTAATTGAATGTTTTCACCACATTTTAGAAGCGAAATGCATTTGTAACTAATTAGAATTCAAAAACTGTATAATTTTTTGGAGAATGATGTATAAATGTGTTCTTTTTTTTTTTTTTTTTTTTTTTTTTTTTCTTTTAGTTTGATTCAAAACTCCCAATCATGCTATTTGAATGATTTGTTTGGTTTCAAAAGTTGCTTGTGAATTTTAGTTCCTGATATGTGGTGAAAAATTGCCATTAGAACACCTTTTTGAATCTTGAAAGTTTGCACAGCTGTTTTAAATTTTTTTTTTTATTATTTTGGATCTTCTTTTTATTAATTAATTTGAATGTCAGAATTGAAGTGAAGTTACTGTATAGTAATTGTAGTTACTAATATAGAATGTAGATACTTGTGTTGAAATAGCAATTTTTGTTCTTGTTAAGGGGAACTGAAAAGTTGATATCTATCCTAAATTTAACTTGCAGTCATTTTCATTTAACTGGGAACAATGTCCATAGTTAATTAAAAATTCTGGCCAAACCAAAGGCAGTTAAACACAGTAAAGAGGTTATAATTACAATTAACAGAACAGAAAAATGTTTTGAACCATTTACTTTTATTTTCAAACAGTTGAATGTAGAAAATAAATTCATTTGGTTGACCAAATTCAGTCACTATTTTTTTTTTTTTTTTTAATTTTTTAAACAAAGGAACAGCATTTTTGTTTACATGACTTGTGTATTTTGTTAGGAGTTGATTAAAGAAATGATGACTACATATTTCATTTATTTTTATTAGCTGGTCAAGCTTGTCTTTTTCAGATGATTTAACAAAATCATCCACTAAACACAAATATTTCAGATTTAATACCATGTATAATAATATTTCAGATAAGATGCAGTTAAGTTATAAACTCTTGTGAATAACATAATTCCAAATACTGTGATGTCATCTTTTATGCTCGTGTTTTATAACAGTAGTATTTTGTCATTACACAGGAAAGAAATTTAACTTTCTTTAATATCCACATCAATTAATTAGAATTTGATTGCATAAATATTAGTCACTTTTAAAATTGACAGTTCCTTGCCATTTTAGTGTTGCATTTGGTATGCTCTGGAGGTGGATGAGAGTGCCTGTTATCATTCTAAATCCTTTACACTCTGTTAAATATAATGATTTTTAATTCTCATTTAATGAATAGTTTTGCAAATTGTGATTCATTGAACAGCCGTTCAAAAGAGGTCTCGCAATTGCCAGAATAATAAAAATTGCAGAACACTTGTAGTTCAATTCCAGTCAAACAGGCTAAATGCATGGTTGTTTTTGTGTTTTTCTGCTATGTGGAACATGGGTACAAGCCAGTTTTGCATAGAAAGTCCTCCACAAAGGCATTCTTTTCCTTAGGCATACAGCCCTTGTGTGTTTTGCCGTGAGTAAAAAAACTAAATCAAACCAAAAGAGACAGAACTGCATACCACAGTTCCCAGCAATACGTATTTTTAACCTTGACAGCAATGTGCTTGCACATTTTTCATGCATGTTTCACAACCCTGCGTGACTATTCTGAAGATATGCAATTACAGATCTCGATAAAGAGTAGTGTGCAGAAGAAAGGCCTGTGAAAAAGCATATTATTGATTTTTAAAGGGACTAATTTTTGCAATTTAAAAACAGAACTAAGTAGTTCTGTTTTTAAATTGCAAAAATTAGTCCCTTTAAATTGCAAAAACTCATTCTTTTATACCATTTCAAAAGACGCTGTCCTTTGATTTTCAGAGACATATGTCTTATTAGTGGAAGTTTTTTTGGCATTATTAGCCATTTAGGTTTCATGTCCGTTATTGTATTAACATCGTTATTATATTGTTAGTATAAATTATAATTACAGTCAAAAGTCGTTAATCTGGACTCATCGGGACTTCGGCAATTCCGGATTATCGATTTTTCCGGATTATAGATCATCAGTTTAAATCTGGTAAGATGGCATGCGGAAATTATAAAATTAAAAATATGAAACCGTAATTTATGAAATAAAGAACAATTATGAATGATGTAAAGAGTATCAAAATTTACAAAAAAAAAAAGCTTAATATTTATTTGTTTACTTTATTAAACATTTCTTTCAATGTAAGTTATTTAAGTTGCTTCGTTTTATGTGATAATACTTCTTCTTTAATTCTATAAACAGACATAATTTCTTCTTCAGTTACAAAGTTCCACTGTTCAAGTGCTATAATTGCTGTGTCGAGAATACCTACTAATTTGTCAATCAAAATTTTTTTCGTTTTCAATTACTTCTGTGTCACTTTCTTCACTATTTGAAACGAATTATAATGACGAGGAATTTGATTTAAATCATATCAAAGACGGAGTACATCGAGATGAAATACTACATTTAGTAAGAAATTATAAGCGAAATAAAATAAAAACATCTGCCCTGAAAATAAGGATAGTGCTGACAGATTAACTTCCAATTCATTGCGCGCCCCAGCGTTTCGGGGTTCCCCCCCCCCCAGGCTGCAGAGCAGCGTGAAATCGATAAACAGATTTCGGAATGGTTTGAGAAACGAAGAATATGCCTTTATCCATTTTTTGCAGCAATTCCACTTTTTGTTTACTGGACTTCTAAAAATACTTTCGCTTTGTAGATCCTTTACATATTAGTAAATACATATCGAAAATTCTATTTGACATAATCAGAAGTTCAAGCTTACCTTTTATAAAATTGCTCTAACAGTCTGTAAAAAATAATAAGCCGGATCCAATTCGAAGATTCAGGAATAACGCAATCTGCAACATTAACTGAATTAGATAATTTTAGCTTAGCTTATACTGTCCGTTATACATTAAACGTGCATGCGTAAATGTATTATGCGCCTGCTCACATGCACATTCGCAGCCATAAAGGTCTTACGCGCACGCGTAAATGCCTATGCGCAGCAGAAAGTTTGCATTCATAGACGTATTTTGCGCATGCGCACACGCATATTCGCAGCCGTAAAGGTCTTACGCGATGCATGCGCAGAAAGTTTGTAGCTTTGAGGTCCGAATTAACGACTTTTGACTGTATTGCTAATTCAAAGAAAGCAGAATTTCAGTTACAGTCCTGTTTAAATCTTAACAGCACAGTCATCATATCTGCAGGAAAATTATATGTGCTTTGAAAATAGGTTTTTCAATTTTAGAATTTAAAAAGAACTTTTTGAAAATATTTAAGTATTTGTCTGTGCGTCAAGATGTTAAATATCCTTGTAACTGTGTTCTTCTAATAACATAACTTTATCTATTAGAGTAGTTGGCTCTACTCTTATATGTGCCCTAATATCACCCAATGGGGCGAAATGTATTCTGCGCTGGTTTTTGGTGAGATTGCGTGTTGTATGGCAACCCTGTTGACGTTGAAAACTCTTTTGCTGGAGTGGTTTAATTGCTCGTTGGTTCGTGTTGTGTGTGTTTTGAAATGGCCTACGTTGCAATGATAGACGTGGTGGCAAGATTTCAGCCACATATTTTAGATTGTGTGGAAAGTTAATTTAGTATTAAAAGGTACGATGTTGGAGTTGTTAACAAGTTTTTGATCACAGGTGTGTTTATGAGGATTGAAGTGTATTTTTGAATTTCTGTGGGACCTTTTAAAACGGAGTCTGAAGTGTGGAGCTGCTATGAGAACTTGGACGAAGAAGGGCGTTTCTGATAGTTCTTGTGTGGATTTGCAGTTAAATTGTTGCTGGTAAAGTATGTGGCTGTCAGCGGAGTTTAAGATTTGGACTGTGGTTTTCGTGCAGTATGTTAACTTTGGAGAAAGTTTTTATCGTTACTTTTGAAATTTTGAATCTCAGAAAGACATATGATATAGCAAAATCGTGGCACTTTTGTTCAGAGACGTTGTGTGACTGGCAAAATTTTATTTAGGATTACACACACCTCGCTTTAATGAAATAACAATAAATTTCAAATAATACCATGTACATAGCGTTCTGTTTCAAAAACAACAATAACGACAAAAATTCATACTAAAGAACCAATGAACATAACATTCTACAAAATAAGAACAAGAATAAAATAAAATGCACTTACCATGCAGTAATGCTTTTTTGAACAGCAGAAATACCAATTTCATACCGCCTTTAACATGCTGTCACGTAATCACTATCGTATTTACATGACAGCCAGACACAATCCAGAAAATTCATACTATGGTTCACAAATAAATAAAATCACAAATCCCTACTTCTATCATGTACAGCCATTGAAAATAATCTCCCAGACCCTCTTTCCATACCTCCAAATACCCACTACCCCTTAACAGGATGGCCAAAATGATATTTCCTTTTGCCGAACTTCAATTCAACAACTACCATTTTATCTTTCCATCCCATCTTCTCAGACGCAAATGCGAATCAACGAGTTTCAGCGAAAGATTTTTCAATGTCAACAGGGTTGCCATAGAACACGCAATTGTGCCAAAAACCAGCAGAGAACACATATCGCCACATTTGGTGAAATTAGGGCGTATATCAGAGTTGTACCATTGTTTGTAATTTAGTTTATTTGGTTGATTTGTGCGCAATGCCTAGACTGTGCAATTCATAGAT